CCCTCACCTCCCACCTTCCTCCCCACCACCCCCCCCTTCACATAGTCAGCTTTTACTGCGGCCCGAAAGCACGACGAGGCCGTGAGCAGTCGATATCGATTTTCTGATAGGCTGTGCCGGCCCCAAGCCGTTGGTTTAATCGTGGGAAAGTTAATCATAGGGGGCTGTGCGCGCGTCAACCACTCAGTTCGGAGTCTTGCACGTGCTTTTTTTAATGATTTATAGCCCTAATGAACACTTCGTGCACGAGTGCACGGGTTGTCCTTTTTTAACCCATAAAGGAGCCCAAAATAGTCCACTTCGTGACGTCTTTGCACGTTACAGAGGCTATTTTCAAACTCGTTTGTTTGCAGTCACTTATTCGCATGTTTGTAGACCAGGTCTCCAGCTCAGAGAACAAACAAACCTTTATGACTTCTGACAGATGTTTTTTTTTCGAGATCACGTTAGTGCTTACCGAAATGAGTTTATGTGTCGCCGACTTTTGCAAACTTATGATGTCTTTCTGCTGCTTTGCAATATGACCGCCACCGAATAATATACTACGACTTGTTAGTGGGACAGTTGCTGAAGTCCTGTACAATGAAAATGTTTCGAAGGGGAAAGATGAACTTTTCGCAAAATCGTAGTTGTCGTGATTAATCATAAGTAACAAAGGGGAACGTAGGACTAGCAACGAGTGAGCGGGCTCAGTGTATGCATTTCGAATATAGTGTTCGTTTCGACCTGTTCGTATCAGTGCAATTTTAGGCCCCAGAACTACTCTGCACCCAGGCTAACGAAAATCCTTTGAGATACCAGCATTTAGATTGGTGGGAGAGGTATGTCCGATCACCTTTTCCTCTGCACACATTTGTGTTCTATTGTGTTTCGTCGTAGAAGATCGGCATTTCCTATGGAAGGATGGGTAGGATATGCAAACTGGATGTCAAAACCGGATCGACTGCACCTGTGGATGCCCCTTGCCAAACTTGTGTTTATTTACAACTTTGTCGTACTTTCATTTGTACACAATTTCCTAGACTAATTCTAGTTGCTGCGCATTTCGGTAACTTTTATTTATTACTTTTTGTTCAAGTTGGTGTACAACTATTTACCGCTACGCTTTAACTGTTTTGCATGTCGAATCAATAGCGGACATCTGGCTCCTATTGTTTTTCTTCACTAGACCGGGTACGTGGTCGCCTTCGTCATATCCAGGGTATTTGATTCGGCTTAGCCTGACGTGCTCTTAGCGTGGGATAGCAGCATTGATTGCCTGTCTCGACAGCTATAACAGACTTGAGAACGTTCACTATAGAGTTAGTGATAAAACAGAGTTATGGAAGGAGACATTGTGCCTACTGGAAACCTGCGAAAAAAATTTTATTCAAAGCATTTTGTACTTTTATCGGAAGGGGAAAAATCGGAAAAGGTAGTTTATATATTTCATCTGGACGAGGAAGAAGGCGTGTCAATCTGGTGCTCGACAGTATGATCTCCATTTTTAATTACCTTGTGCGATCCCCGCAATGCTCGAAATTTTATCTGAGGGCTCCCTTCAAACAAACATCTACTTTTCAACGCCCTCGCAAGCATATCTCAGAAATGGGTTCATTGTAAGCAGAACCAGGTTAGGCGCTTCTCCACTTATTAGCTCTGGGTTTGTCCTACAAAAAGATATGGCAGTAGCCCTAATCTTAAACTTCCGTTTTAGGAGGAGACGAAGCAAAATAAATGCAAGCAACGTTTTAGGAGGAGGGGGTAGGGGAGCTTTTCCAGGCGATTCTTACGGAGCTAGCTGTTCCCTGGTCAATTTGCGTTACCCAACGCCCTAATTAGAATGCTTAATTTTGCAAGGCACGGGAAACTTCCGCTCTCCCCCACCTCCTCCACCTAATTACGCGAGTCTTGCACTACTTTCCTGGGAGACCAAGGGTAGTCTGTAGGTTATAGCCATGGTTAAACTAGGGTGGAGGTTAAGGTTTCGGTAACGAGAAAGGCAATGGATGCTGCGATCCCACGCTAAGAACACGTCACGATAAGCCGAATCCAATACTCTGAATATGATAAAATCGACTCTGAACCCCGTCTAGTGACGAACAACAATAAGAGCAAGATGTCCGCTATTGATAATCGTAATTCAACCTAGTTGTAGTGTATCGAGTAACATTTGTACACCAACTTAAATAAAAGGTAATAAACACAAGCTACAGAAATGCGTAACACATAGAACTAGTCTAGGAAGTTGTGTACAAATGAAAGTACGACAAAGGTGTAAATAAATACAAGTTTGGCAAAGGGTTACGACAAAGGTTTGACTTAGGTTTAACTTAAGCGTTGGAGTTAAGTTTGACGTTAAGTTAAGGCTTAATGTTGAGGTTAGAAATTAACCACGTAGACAGTTATCCTTCTTGGAATTTTGTGCAAGGCTCCCTGCATAACCAGACGAGTGGTTCCTGTTCCCGAGTCTTGTCCTTACTTCTATGAATACAGTACAGATTCCCTGTGTAAAGTAAGAGCTTATTAATGACTACGAAAACAGTCCTGTTGGCAGGTTTGTTTAGGGTTCGCAGTGCTCTACTTAAAAATCTTTCACATATGGATGGCATGCTTCAAAAGCTATTTATTGTGCTATACAGATACTGCGACATAATTAAAAGCCTTGATTGCATTTTTATTGGTTAATCAACGAAAAAACGTCCATTCAGAAGGATATTACCAACAAAGAAACAGAAGAATAGTATGATAATTTCGCGCCTATTATACGTATTTAGGCAGGCTTACCAGATCGCCGGATAGTACTCACATATCTATCGCAGGAGGTTAGGTTAATAGAGAAAACCCTTTCCACTACGATCTTCAGGCCCAGTTCCTTGTGCGAAAAACGGAAGAAGTGGGAGGCCAGAGTGGGAGGAATAGTTTAATCTGTGCAAAAGGATTGGAGATTAGGCTGGAGGAGGTTGACACCAAGACAGACGTCCGTCTGCTCCTTAGTAGGGCAGCACCCTGTGTGTTGAGAGCGTGGAGTTGTCACAGTCGTCCACATGTCGGCCTTTGTGCGAGTCAGCGTCAGGAAGATGATTGGCCAGACCAGTCAGACCAGACTGATTATGCTGAAGTTTTCTATGCCATTATAAATGACATTTTGAGTGAGTTGCCTTCAAAGACCCAGTGATCACCTTTTTACAAGAGGATTTCCACTCACTGGAAAGAAAGTAACTACGATCATAAGCGCTCACGTCCCCACCTCTGAAGATCAACTCCTGTGCGAGCCCGAATTTTCAGAAAAACAAGAAAATGGTCCCGGTGGTCGACCAATCTTCTTCTTCCCTACATACACAGGTAATCAAACGTTCGTTTCCCTCGACGAAAGGAAACCCTGGATGTTATGTGCAGGGTATGCTGTCCATAGCGTCGGAACATCATGCCACATGCGCGCGACAATCGATCGGTCAAGGTTACGGACGCGCGTTCACACTTTCGCCGTCCTGACTGGCTACCCTTCAGCTTATTTCTTTTAACCATACCATATAACCCGCTGTGTAATCAAGACTCCCCACATTCGCACAAGGTCCTGCTCTGAGTGTCCTTGTCTGTGACGTCAAGAAGTAGGTGGGCCTCGGGTAGCAGCGACCAGTACAAGTGCTCCCCTCCTAGACCAAAGTTTGTTGATGAAGGAGAACGAACGAAGGAGGATTAGTAAAAGAAAGGGTAGAGTTGTAACCAGCTTGAGCGGCTGTGGCAGGAAAAAACGAGCTAAGTTGAAGGGACGTTGGTGATTCGCATGAGCATGTTGGTAGGAGATTGGTCATCTCGACTACGTGTGAGGGAGGCAGGTTTGCTGTGTTGAACTTCGACGACAAATCCGTATGTCGTGTCAGTGTTTTTTGAGAGGATGGAGGGATACCATCGGCAGTAGGAGTAAAATCAGAGTTCGGATAGGAGGTCAGGAGATTGGCACTCAAAGCGGGAACAGCTCTTCGGAATGGGGAAGGAACTATGGCCTGGGGACAGTGGGCTGTGAGCGATTGAGCATCTCCCTCGTGCTTCACGACAAAGTGTCGGCAATGAAATTTTCCATTTCGCGGTCATATAAAATGACACAGGAAAATGTCAATTGAAGGTGAGGGAGGTCTGATGATGATCGAGGTCAGACAAATCAGAAGTTGAGATTTCAGATCACGTCGGGGTCACCATTATCGCAAATGTGTTAAGGCTACGAAAGTTTAACCCTAACGACTGCAATCTTCCAGGCCCTGTTCCTTAGGAGATGAGCGAAGTCTTGGGAAACCAGAGA